CAGAACATAAAGTGCTGTTTTACCATAAATCTTATTGCTGTGAGAAGTTGGGAATAAAGGTAAGAAAGAAACTCTAAAGTGTGTTAGAAGTGAACTGAACATATCAAGATATTTGTTTTCAAGTCATTTTTTTTAAAAAAAGATCCATAACCCTTCAAATGTGTTTCTGTCTTTATCTGTAAAGACTTATATCTAAATCCTCACATATTTTTTTCTTCAAACAAAACTCATGGAATCACTTATTTTGTGGGATAGGGCTGGCATGCTAAACCTTATAAGAAGGCTAATAGAAAGGCTAATCAGTGTTGATAAATAGCCATGAGCTGAAAAGGTGTGTGACTAGATAGTGCATATAATATATGTATCTTAGAGTCTGCGTTCAATGATCTTTAAAATTAGCTTGGAGGTAACCATCTCATTGTGTCAAGCTTAGGCAGAAGGGGCAACATAGAGGCATTTAAAACATGTTTGATATATGGCTAGAAGAGCATGCTTCTTTAGAAATTATTTGACTTATTAAATTTTAGAGGTATAGCTTATTAACAAACAATGTTTGGGACTTCATGGTAATTAGGAACTACATTTTTGCTATTTGTCAGAAAATGTCTCCTTTAATGTATTCATCAAATTCACATGCATGACAGGGCAAGGGAAGGAAACTGGGATCATGATGACAGGACCTGTTCTGAACCTGCATATGTGCATCTTGAAGGTGTGACTAGAGATTTCAAGCTTCATTTGATGGAGAGAATACCTGTACATCACCCTGGTAATTGTGTGGCATCCACCAGCCAGGACCTCTTTGAGACCTAGATGTCTTCATAGGAACAAGCAATGATCTTAATTCTATTTGAATCCTGACTAGAGAGTAGCCTCACTGAATCTATTAGATTCATCTATGGTATGTGTGGACTCAGCATTTAACAATTGATTGAATGGGTCTACTCTAGTTGGGACTAACCAACAGAGCCCAGACTTGTCTCTTCCGGATCTCTCACAATATACAAGCCATACTTTTACACTGAAAGTGGAGAAAATGCAGGCTGTCAGCCACATGTGGTCTCAATCCCTTTGTGGCAGGCTTCAGATTCTCTCAAAACCTTAAGGTAAAGGTATTTCCTGTTGACATGGTTGTCAAATTGTGTCCTTGGAGAACTTTAGAACCCACCACTATGCCCCATTTTTAAAATGGTTTCATTTTCGAAGGGCATAGGGGGCAATTTCACCCTGTTTTATGAGGGGTAAATGTAAATGTAAAGGTAGTCTCTTGAAATAAATGTCTAGTCATAATTGTCTGTAGAGGGCAGTGCTCATCTCCGTTACTAAGCTGAAGAGCCAGCATTGTCAGAGACTATTCTGTGATCATGTGGCCAGCATGACTGCACAGAACACTGTTTACCTTTCCACCAAAGTGGTCCCTATTTATCTACTTGCATTTGCATGCTTTCGAACTGCTAGGTTGGCAGAAGCTGGGACTAGTGATGGGAGCTCACCCCATCATGCAGCACCCGGTCCTTGAACTGCCAACCTGCCAATCTTGCAATCAACAGAGTTGATTAATCAAAACCTTAAAATGTCTTAAAATGGGCGGAAAATGCTGCTCAAACACTTTTTAACACTTTTAACAACATTCCAAACCACAAAACCTGCACACAAATTGGGTAAAATCCCAGCAAGAAGAAAGGAGAACTAGACTTCTGGTCTCCTTCAGGACACACTTTCAGCCCATTTCCAGCTGAAAATGCAGTGGTGTATCACATTGTAGAAGTGTGAGGGTGCACATTGGCCCTGCTCACAGTTGCCCACCTCTGCTCTACACATAATATTTATTTATTTTATTAAACATTTCTTAGAATAAAAAGTATCTAAGTGCTGTTAAGTAAAACCCATTTAATGGAATAATAAAATAGAATCATTCAAATACATACACACAAACTCAGAAAACCAAATCATAAAAAACCAATAAAAAACCAAGAGACATGCCAACACTTTATGGACATTTTGCTGGTACTTGATAATGATAAGCAAGGCACATTCACAATACATTATATCACCAGTTCTCAAAGTAATGCTATAAACCTCTTAAGCTCCACATAATCTCCACTTGACACCAAGAAGTTAAATAATTTGGCTGGGTTTACAGCGCATTTCCTTTTCTCTGATACCCTTCTCACTCTGCTAGTACTTAACAATATTAAGTTGAGAATAAAAAAGCTTTTCTGTACAGTCACCATTAGCATTTTTCAGGGTACCCCTCCCAAGCAGTAGTTAAAAATTTACTGGCATGCCTCTCCAGGCAATATAAAATGGATTATTTTTACAAGAACATGATAATAAATCTAGCAGTGCCAAATCCTTTAGTGATCAGAGATTAAGGGATGATTTGTACATCAGCTCAGTTCTAGCATTTGTTAAACCTGACAAACAATGGGAAGAAGGGCAGATTGCATGCAACACTTAACTTCTATAATAACTTTGTTAAAGGGTAATATCATTAAATGAAGTATTTAATATCGAGTTCTTACATCCAATTGCTTGTTAGTAAACTGCACAATAAAGCTAGTGTAAATTATTACACTTTAGTACAATAATCATGTTCAGTTATTAGGGAACTGTAATGCATAGGGATTTAGGAAAGCAGAATTTTTGATGGTATAAGAAGGAATCTTAGAATAACCAGGGAAATTAATGTTTAATCCCAGCCTCAAATGCAAGGAAGATTCAGGTCACATTTGCTCATTCTGCATAGCAGCAATGAATGCCCTTGGTATTCTCTTGTGGTTGCTAACACTGAGAAAATATTGCCAGAGGACATGGCTTTCAGAACAAGAGAATCCTGCAGACCTCTGTGACAGTGAATGTACATTTTGTTGAAATAATATTTTCATCTTCAATGCTTAAAATACAGAGTAGCCATAAGAAGTATTGTAAAATAAATATTCAGCATGAATATTTTTCAGACATTATCTGGACTTCCTGTTTAGTTTATTTATAATTTATGCTTTAAAAATAATAAGAATGGTAGTACTAGTAGAGATCTCAGACCATCTCACCCAACTTATTTCAGGATTAGTGATTTATTATTTGGTATTAATAAGTACACCTTACAGTTTGTCTGAGTAAACAAAATAAACCTGTTTCATGAATTTGAAAAAACTTATTTCTTTGGGAGATACTTCAAAAAATCCCATTTTCCTTTACCTATGTGACTTACAATTTATAATTTTAAAAAAGTGATCATTCAATTACTTTTACAGTTAGAAGGGCTGTGGCTTCACCAAATGGTAAAAGAGGAATAGCATATGGTTGTAGTGGTGGCTCATGTGCTGCTACTATTTTTAGACACTTACCTTTGTTACTTTTGAGAAAAATGAAAATAGTGTTACATCCAATTGTTATGCCCCACTAGAGCAGAAACTTAAAATAATGAAATGTACATAAGTATTGACTTACGAATCCTCATTAATTTAGTGGAATGTACTCTAGTGGGGTCTAGCAATTGGACTTAGAATTTTTTTATTTAAATTGAAACAATAATGATAACTAATTACTTTTGGAACTTGTAACTATAACTGCAACAAATTGCTTCTAAAAATTAATATTTCAAGTTCTGAACTGTTTACATAGTGTTTATTTTACTACACCAACAACAGTTCATATAGATTTAAAAGACAAATGCAATCACCATATAATAAAGAGGGAAAAGGTCCATACATTTACCTGCCCTATATATTGTCTCCACAGAATTTACATTGGACAAAGGCAGTACAGACAGGCTTTTTCACTACACAAAGAGGGAACTGAAGAAATTCAATGGTGGCATTAAATAATATACAGTGTTTTAAAGGGATCTTGCAGCACCTTTGAGACTAACTGTGAGAAAGAAGTTGTAGCATGAGTTTTCATAGACTGAGGAAGCAGAAGTCTAGGAAAGCTCATGGTACAACTTCATTCACACAGTTAACTCAAAGGTGCTGCAAGATCTCTTTGCATACTGATATTCCAGACTAACACAACAGTCTCTGAATTAAATTTTGACTGTTACTCTAAGGAGAATAAATATTTATGAGACTCCAAATATTGCTTGGGGAATAGCGATAAGGAATGTGCTGGCTTTTTGGCACAAACAAGTTACTTTGGGATATCTATCTGACAATTTAATCACAATAGTTTCTTGGCTATCAGAAATGGGTCTATGGTTTTCTGTCATCAATATGTGTATTCTTTTTGGTTCTTTCTATCCCTAGCCTATTGCTTCAAGAATTGAAGGCAGGAAGTGCACTGAGACTGAGCAATTTACAGAGGTTCTGTGGTATAGTAGGAATGGGGAGTAAACAAGTAAAGTTTGTACCCAGATGTTTACCACACACTTTAGCTTATTTCCACCTATTTCACAGAATTTTCATATTGTTTTCCTCTTGTTTTTGTATTGTATGTCTTAGAAAGTATGCTAGAAAGAATGTTCTTGTTTATCAATTGTATAATAAAACTAGGAAAATAATAACACAAAATGAGGAAAAATAACCATATTAGTTATACGTTTCTATAAAAGCTGACCAAATGTCCAAATATAAGTCCTTTTGTAAATTTTGTCTATACATCTTTCTTTGTTGCCAGGGTTTTTAACTCTTCTGTCCATTGGATCACAGGTAGAGAAAAATTATATTTTCAGTAACCAAGTATCAATCTTTTAGCAGTTAAAAAGGTGTGAAAAATCCACTTCTATCGGTTATTTGTTAATTTCCCAGAAACAGATAAATAATTCAAAAGAACATGCATGTGCCTGAATATCAAGGAACTTCACAAAACCAAATATACTCATTTGGTTGTTGTTGTTGTTGTTGTGTGTCTTCAAGTTGTTTCCAACTTATGGAGACCCTAAGGCAAACCTGTCATGGGGTTTTCTTGGCAAGATTTGTTCAGAGGTTGTTTGCCTTTACCTTCCCCTGAGGCTGAGAGCATGTGACTTGCCCAAGGTTTCATGAGTTTCATGGGTTTCATGGCCAAGCATGGAATTGAACCTTGGTCTCCAGAGTTGTAGTCCAACACTTGAACCACTACGCCATGCTAGCTCTCATGTGATTACCTCCTCCCAAAATGTAGCTACTATTGGAGAACTCTAAAACATATGCATTTGGGAAGCATTAGCAGTATTACATCTCCAACAATTTGCTGATTTAGAAAGCCCTTTCTTGAATCAATGTTGTGGTGACCAATATGCCTCAAAGAGCAATTTTTGCTGTATGAGATATAGTAAGAGATCTATAGCTATACTAGTTATAGATGTTAAAATTGATGGCATTGTTTAGTCAGAATTGGATATTCTAGTTTTCCATTCCATTCTTGCTGTTGAATTCTTTCATTTACAGATCAACAGAACTGTTGGTGTATGCCTTCAAGTAGTTTCTGATTTATGGCAACCCTAAAGTAACCCTATCATGGGGTTGAGTTAGCAAGATTTGTTCAAAGGGAATTTGCCTTTGTCCCCCTTACTTGCTCAACATCACCCAGTGGCTTTCCATAGTTGAGTGGGGATTCAAACCTTGGTCTTCAGAGCTGTAGTCCAACATTCAAACCACTACAACACACTGGTTCTCATTAACATGGTCACCACTTTGGAAACTGTTAGAAATTGAAGGCATAGCTTCTATGCCATATTGTATTTGTACAATGCTCATCCTATATCCTTCATCAATATATCGTTCCTGCTTATTCTTATTTTTATGACTTATTTTATTTAATTCTCTTCTCTAGGAAAATACAGGTTTGTAAAACTTCAACTTTCTTTCTAATGCCTTCCAATGCAGAAATAACCCCACTGACATTAAGGTTAATCTTTCTCATCCTTGTGGGCATTTTTAAACCAAATAAGGCAGGGTTAGATTTGAAAGGAAATGGATTTTGTGTTTCTGCTTTCTATACATGTTTTTTAAACTTATCTTTTGAGACATTCTCCTCTTCTTTCTTTTCTTCATTCACATTCCCTTCTTTCTCTTTCTTCTTTTATTCCTTTATGTCTCTTTTTCTCTCATTTCAAGATCTGTGATAAAGGTACTTCCAGGGTACTCTCCCTCTCTCTCTTGCTTTTTGAAAATGCACAACCAGGATGGGAATGTTTATTAGAACTCTGATTGACCTTGCCTTTGTTGGTGGAAATCCTAACTAAAAACAATTCAATGTAATTAATTTCTAATTAGACAGCCTATACTTATAAAATAATACTTTAATTAAAATAAGGAATAAAAATGAGCTAGCATCAAATTATCATATTCATTTCCCTGGAAATGAGATTCTAGCACATCAATCATGCATATTAATTAAAAACAGTTCACTTTGTTGATGTATAATAGGCTTCAGGTATTGCTGCCAGGACTCCTCTGAGAATTGAAATGTGTGGTCAAGTAAATAAATACACTTGCTAGCTTTGTTACGCCTGCAAATTCTAATGACAAGCATTAACATAGACATCATAGATATTAAACTTTTCTCTTTTGCAAAGCAACATGAACCAACATACTGCCATGATATGGTTCAACTTCAGCTTGAAATACTATTGTAGAACTTTACTTTGTTGTTGTTATGTGCCTTCAAATCATTTCCAACCCTATCCGAGTTTGATGGGGCTGAGTGTGTGTGACTTACTGAAGGTCACCCAGTTAGTTTCCATGGTGGAGTGGAGAACTGAACCCCGATCTCCAGAGTCATAGTCTAATGCTCAAACTGCACTACCATGTTACAGGCTTGCTTTAATCGGACATTTGTTAATACAAATGTTTGTTACCTGGGCATTGCCAATTTGGCATTCCTATTAGGGAATGATGAGTGTGTGTGCATGTGCTTTCAAGCTGCCTGTCAACTTATGGGAACCCCATGAACTTCACAGTTTTCTTAGGCAAAGAATATTCAGAGGTAGTTTGGCCAGCTCCTTTCTTGAAAACAGGACAATAAACATGGATTTAAATATGGGCAGTTTAACCTTGACTACTGGAAAGAAATAAGAAATCTTACAACAGAGAGCCTTGCTTATCACTAAGTAGTGTCTCTTTGGCCAGTTCCACACAGGCCAGAATACTTCAGGAGTGGCCCAAAGTATTCTAGCCCAAGAGTTGGCCTAATGTCCCCCTGTTACCTGGGACTCTTGGATGGAATGCTGGGCAGCTGTTCACATATCTTCCACTGTGCTGCCCACCACTGCCATGGCATTGATCATATGGCTGGGTGCCTTTTTCTGACCTCAGAGTAAGCGTTTCAACACAATGACACAGGGTGGCACAGTGGGACGTATTGTAAACAGCTGCCCTGCATTGCACCATAGAACTTTGTTGCTTCTGTGAAGATCCAGAGCAAAAGGTGAGGTTTTAAAAAAAATATTTTAAGGAGATTTGCCCCTGCATCACTAAGGCTCATCACCATGTGGATGGGGTAGGCCGTTTTATGTATTTTATTTTATTTGATCTGTGCCTAAGTGTTGCTTCCTGATCCAAAATGGTCTTAATTCCTGTAAAGGCTGTAAGCATTATAGGCACTTTAGCCAATCATAATTCAGCTCTTGTGAAATCGAAGGCAGCTTGAACAATCAGCATGCAGATCTCTTATTTGGTGGCTTTGCAATGAGCTCTAGCCTTCTTCTTTTTTAAAGGAACAGTGTTCTGAAAAACTTAATGAAACTGTAAGGCAGTGGTTCTCAACCTTTCTAATGCCGTGACCCCGCAATACAG